TGTTTGTCGCTGTTGCTGGTGGCCATAGCCGCGGACATTGGGAAACCTATGTATATCATTTCAAGTTGAAATTAAGTTCTGTGTGCACTCATATCGTGTGGATCTTGGTTGTGATGCACACACAAAGTTTGAAGTAAGAAAGGCAGCAAAATAAGATCTTGTTGTGCCGAGCCGGAACCTTTTCACTTTCCTCTTCTTCTTCAATTTCTTTTCCATCCTTGTCTAATTTCTGCTTACACCCTGCGGCATTTTCCGAGCCTAAATTTTGTGTCTGATTGAACATATGTGACAATGACATTGTGAGATTCTCGTGACTGGGTTTGTCACACATATCATTTTAGCTTTTAGTTGGAACAAATTTCGCTCGTCCGAGGGCCTGTTGTGACCAGTCCTCGTGTGGTGACCTCTGAGCTTAACTGGAATTCGTTGGGGTAGTCTGATTTTCAGGATCACATAGGAAATCAGCAACACTTTTGATGAGGCCATAGCTCTCCAATCAGATCCAAAAGCATCATTATATTAGGGGACATGGAAGATGTCGAAGATCTGGAAGCATAGCATCATGACAAATAGGTTGAATCTGGTTGAGGCGCGCTTTTTGCTTACTTGATTCTCTCTAGGCAGAAGGGCTCAAGGTACACCAAGATAAATGCTAAAAAGTGGCAGCTCAACAGGGAAAAGGGAGTGTGAGGCGGTCATTGCCAGCTTTGGAAGGGGAACAGAACTAGATGATAGTCCATGTCAAATAGCCACAACTTTCTCAAAAGCTCCAGCTAGCAGTGATTTATTTGTGTGAAGCCAGATACTCGGCAATTGAGAGTTCTTTTTCAGCATCCTTCAATAACCACGAGTTCATCGGGGCTTGGTCCCATTGCGCCTGCTTGGCACACTGACATGGATGTTATGGTAAAGCCTTCGCCAGCTTCGATGGATGCATATACCAAGTCATTGGTAGCATAGCACCTTGGCCTTGATTAATTTGATGTCCTGGCGTGCATCTGGACCAAGTTCGTGCCTTTGCACATGATCACAGCCAGTCAGAGCCGAAGAAGACCGGAATGAACAGAAAGCAGAAATCCTTTGGAATCTCTGCTAATTCGAAGTGGCAAAGGGACCACTAGTGGTTAGCCGGGACCCCCACTTTTCAGCTCTTGGGCTAGGCTACTTGGGTCACCTGCCATGCATCCCAGGCAAGTCGCCTGGGGGTCAACTGCATGTCTGTGCGCACCTGGCTCTGTCCGAATCTGGGCTGATTTTCATTTATAAAACGCTTTCAGGTTTTGCCCAAACCAGGCTCAAACAAACTCAGAACAGACCAGGGCGGGGCGGAGGGGGGGGTATTTCAGGGGTTAGGGGTCGGGCGACGAAAAAAATGACGTCTCTCTCTCTCTCTCTCTCTCTCTCTCTCTCTCTCTCTCTCTCTCTCTCTCTC